TTAGCCTGGGTTACGGGAAAGCGGCTCTATATCAAGAAGAGCTCTCGAGGGATGCAGGAGCGAGGGGAGGAGGGAAGGCGCACACACAGTCACAGGGCAGGTTACCGAGCCGGCCAGTAGTTGGTGTCAAGGGCAGCTGTTGGATCTTGAGGTGCCTTCTCCCCAGAGTCCACTGAAGACACTCTTGGGAGAGGTAGTCAGGAGGAAGGGAAAAGAGCTCAGTGTTCAGCTTCCAGCTTGAAGTGGCCAAGTCTCCCTCCTCCTCCCCCTCACCACGGAGTTTTAACTCTTAACACATCTGGATGGCCCTGGGGTGGACACAGAGCGTCCCAGCATGTCTCATACCTCCACAGCCACTGAGAAGCCCCAGGATAGGGACAGGGGCGTGATAATGAGGCTCTGCTCTCTTGAAGCTGGTTGTAGTCGATGTGGAGCTGGCCGTGGTGGGGAGGAAGAAGTGGTCCAAGGCCCCGGAGACACATGAGACAGAGTGAATCCAAGGGAGACACGCTTCAGGGTCTGATGCACCATTTGACTGTTTCTCCCGTCTCTGCACCTGCCATGCCGAGTGCAGCTGGACACTCTAACTGCTAAATGCCTGGAAACCCTCCCTGATCCATCCTGCATTTATGTTTCCAGGCCCCCTTCCCTGGGCTCATGGGACACTTAGAGAGAATCCCCACTTCCAAATCCTACCACCGCTGCACCACTGTGTAGGCTGAGCACAGGCCCAGCTCCAGGCCTCTGCTCCCCTGCTGGCCCTTCCTCCAGGAGCTCTTGCTCTCCACCTCTACTCCTTCCCCAGGCTCCTTTCCTCAACTCCCAAACCTTTTATCTGCGTCCTGGGTACTGATATTTAAGCTATTTAATTGGAAACATAGTTGCATTTGAGTTACTGGTGAAGGAGGATTCTGAAATGCAATAAATAAAGTTGTACAAGAGAATGAGATCCGTAATCAGCTGCTGCTCTTACTACCTGAAGAGGCTCCTGTAGTAGTCATCGGGCTGCTCCCAGCCCTGTCAAGGGCTATCAGTCACCCTCCACTGAAGGTTGAGGCGCAGGAGCTTATGAAGGCAGGGCAAGGATAAAGAGCAAATGGCGATGCCTTCGCCTGGAGGCAGAGGGGTCTGGAGTTGGGAGAGGTGGGCGGTGTTTGCCCCTAGGCAGAATTTCTCTACACCAGGGTCATGATCTCTCGCGATGCTTGTTAAAAATGCAATGCATCAGTTTGGGGTGCTTGTGGCTGCAAGGCCCAAAAACCCCAATTCAAACCAGCTTAAACAAAAAGAGTAATATTGCTCCTGTAACTTGAAGAGTAGAGGAAGAGCAGCTTTCAGGCTTGGTTGAGTCATTGGCTTAATGACACTGTCATCAGAGACACAGCCTCTTTTTCTCTCTCCAGACTGCTGTCTACACCTTCAGCTTTGTCCTAGGTTTGGCTCACTTTGCAGTCACAAGGCAGGGCCACATGCTTCCTGTCCAGTAGGGGAGAAAATCTCTTCCACTGATGTGGCATGCAAGTCCTTTCATTCTGTCGGGGTTGGCTTCCCCAGGACAGCTGCCAACCCCTGGGCCAGAAGCAGTCCCCGGGATAGTGCAAACAACTGATAGGGTCAGACCAAATAGAACCCCCCACTTGCCCTGGAGCTGGGGCTGGGGTGGAACCCAGGAAACCTGGAGGGAATGCAGGGGGGAGAAGGGATGGGTATCGGCAGGCACTCAAGAAAAGCCCAAGCTCCTGCCGCTGCTCTGGAGGTGACGTGGGGCACACAAAGTGAGACCCACCGAGTAGGGAGGCATGCGAGCCCAGGCTTTGCCGAGACTTGTGGCAACACGGAGGGAACCTTACTCAGACCTGAGCCCGATAATTATTTCTCCATTAAAAATGCAAAATCGGCCAAATTGCATCAAAATGGGAATTAATCAACATGACTGTTTTCTGAAATGATTGAACTGGGATGAAACCAAACATAAACCCCAAAATGGATCCCCAAACAGTCAAACAGCCTTAATTCTGGCCCCATGAGGGACAGAACAAGATGACCTGGAGAAGGGGCTGTTGTGGTCCAGCGGCCTGTGAAAAGCTGGGCGCTTTTGTATTGATGAAGAGAAGGCAGCCCAGGGCCCGAGCCCCAAGGATGCTGTGATTCCACTGAAAATCCAATATCCAAGACTAACAGGCGGGGGTTTTTGTTTGTTTGTTTGTTTGTTTGTTGTTTTTTTGAGAAGCAGCTGGAAGGCAGTGGAAATGACACAACTATGAAGTCAAAATGCCTGGAGGCTTAATTATCTACCACTTGCCAGTGGTGTGACCTTGAAATTCCTTGAGCTCCATTTCCTCATTGTGAAATAGTATAATAAATGTAACTCAGGCTTAGATGAAATATTGGAAGTGGATGCCACTTTGTGGAGGATAAAAAGACAGGAGGACATCAGTCATTGCTCTGGGTGTCTCCTTCTGGGGCTCTTGGCTCCTCATGCCAGGAGCACAGACTCCCTGCCCACCCCTCTCTCTACCTTCCACGCTCCTCCTTCAAGGTCTAACTCAGGCTCTGGCTCCTCCCTGAAGTGCCCACGGCCTCCCAGACTCCTCTGCTTGGCCTCCTGCCTGTACCGCCTGCTCCCGCATTGGTCATTCACACGACTGCCTGTTGCCTGCTTCTGCACTGCGGTCCTGAACTGCCGAATACACCTGTCGCTTGCTCTTTTGTGTGTGATTGTCTCCCCAGCTCACCTGCACCTGCAAACAAAGAACTATGTCTCCCACCTCTTCCTGCCTTAAAGGAACTCCTTAGAATGTGGGAATGGAACAAGCTTTGGACAAGCTATTCTAGGTGACAGGTCAGAGGGGTGAAGTGACCTGCCAAAAGTTACTCAGCTCTGGTGGTTTGGTCAGGACTAGAACCAGGCCCCTTGCTGCCCAGTGACACCCTCCATGGGGTGGTGCAAAGGAGACCTGATTTTGCAAATCATGCAGGTTCCTCCCCCCACCCCCGAGACTAATTACTGTGCGTAATGACCAATGAGTCTGGTGGGCGGGTGCTGTGCCTGGCAAAGGCTTGAAGGAAGAAGAAAGGTTGGAAGCCACTGGCTTTGGAGCTGGGCTGATCAAGGTTTAATCCTGCCACCACCCCCTCTGTGTGATCCCTCACAGCCTCACTGCACTGATGGCGCAAATGTTTTTTGCGGCCCTACGCGCCGGGCATACTCGGCAGAGGTCAGGATAGACGTGGCCCTGCTTGGGCGCATCACAGCCTTCTGGGCAGCGTTTCTGAGGGCGAGATGAAGTGTTCTCTGCCCTCTGAGCCCCTGTGGGAGTTTTGAAGAATTCAGAAGTAATGCAGGGACAGCAACTCTCGCGGCGACCGGCGGGAGAGGCTGGCTTCTCCTGCTGCGCCCTGTGCACTTCCCATTCACTGGCCCGCCCATGAGGATGATTAGGACCAGCCGCGTTGCCAGCGCCCAGCCTCCCTTGGGAATGGCTGCCGACAGCGTCAACCGGGGCAGCATGGCCAGGGCTTGTCCTCGCGGAGGGTGCAAACACTGTAAATGCGTGTTGTAAATTTAAGCACCATCCCCCCACCCAGAGCTGCATTCACCCCCAGTCCCACACTCTCCAGCCCCTGGGTCACTCCTGCCACTGGGGAGAGCAGCCTGGACCCCTGGCCAGCCCCTCCAGCAGCCACAGAGAGGGAAGGGGCTGGAGGACCGGCGTGGAGCGCGGGATGCTCCTTGAGGGGCTCTGCCATGGGTCTGTGCCGACCTCAATTTGAGGGCCATTTTGTGGGCGGCTCACCCAGACCGACGGCATTTCAGGCTCTGGATCTGGTCATCAGTCTTTGATTTCCCGGCCAGGCTCCGGTATTGCTACCTGCTGTACAACTTTGAATCCCCCAAGTAGGAGAGAGTTCAGTCCTTACCAGAGGCAAAGATAGATCCCACTCCTGCGTGAGGCAGCCCCGCACACTTAAGGCTTGACAAGCAAGCGGGCCTCAGTGTGCAGAGAAAGATGCGCTTTCTTCCGGGTGGACTAAGCCCTTCCCCAGGGGCACAGCTGGGCAAGCGGTGTGCAGACTGCATTCCAGCCCCCCCTCGCCCCTCATCCAGGCCCCTTTGTGCAGCACACATGCCATACAGCTGAACACGGCAGCCCCAGCCCCGCACAGCCATGTCCTGCAGGCCCCCTGTGGGCAGGCTCTGCCAAGCGCCAGAGACAGAGCAGGAGCAAGACAAGACATAATCCCTGTGCTCGTGGCCCAGACACTAGTGGGAGAGACTGTCCACAAACAGGCCAACCTGTGACAAAAGCAGTCTAAGGTGAGATCAGTGTCGTAAAGCAAAGAGCAGGATGTGGTGATAGGGAGAGATAGGCTTGGAGGAGTAACTTAATTTGGAGCACGTGAAGGAGAGGGTGAGTGGTTTGGGGAAAGCCGGAGCCAGAATGAGTTTGGCCCATTTGGGAAGCAGGGAGCTCAGTGGCTGGAAGGGAGCAAAGGGAGGGGGGAATGTTGGGGGGCATGTCAGAAAGGTGAGCAGGGTCAGAGTGGGCAAATGCTTAGTGGTCGCCGTAAGGAGTTTGTTCTAGGTGTGTTGGGACCACTGGCCGTTCTGAGCCATTAGGTGGAAGAGGGGAGGGGGAGAAGAGATAAGAGAACAGGGCCAGGGGGAGAGGAAACAAAGAGGCAAGTGGCACAGACAGAGCAGCCGAAGGAAGGACCACCTGTGACAGAGAACACATGGGGGCTCAGCCATAGGACGGGTGGAGGGAGGGATGGTGGATGAGCAGGGCCGACATCGCAGTGGGCCCTGGCAGACTCATGATGCTGTGGATTCTGGTGGGTTTAGGTTTTGCCTCCCCAGGTCACTCTCCTCAGAGCAGAAGGGAACCCCAGCCATCCCTCTGCCCCCCAGGAAGGGTCAGGTCATCGCTCCTCCCTTCTGTGGGTGGAAAACAGGCAGGGGGTCCTCAGGAAAACTAACCAGAATGGCTTGTTCGCAGTTCAACGTTAAAAAGTCGACGGAGCCCGTCCAGCCCCGGGCCCTTCTCAAGTTCCCAGACATCTACGGACCTAGGCCGGCTGTGACGGCCCCGGAGGTCATCAACTATGCCGACTACACCCTGAGGAGCACAGAGGAGCCAGCTGCGTCTGCCAGTCCCCAGGCCCCAAAGGACAGCCGCCTCAAGAGGCAGGTCACAGAGGAGCTGTTCATCCTTCCTCAGAATGGTAGGAGTCTCCTGCTCCTCGCTCTTCCATGGACAACATTCGGGGGTTTTCAGTGTCCGTCTGGACCCTGGGTGAGGCCAGCCCCCGAACCAGTGACATTTGACACTGGGCAAGTGGGTGGGCACAGGGCCTCAGGATTACTGTCCTTTATTCCTGCGGCCATATTGCCACATTTCTTCTCCCCAAGGCCCTTAGTTTTTCACTAGGAAATGGAGAGCCTCTTTCAAGTCTCGTGTACAATTATTGAGAGGGGATAAATAGTCGTGGTTAAAACCATGGGTTCAGAGCCATGAGCTCAATTCTCTGCCCTCTTATATACTTGTTGTGTGGCCTTGGTCATGTTGGAAATTTCGTTGGGCTTCAGTTTTGTCATCTATAAAATGGGTTCATACTATTACCTGCTCAATAAAGTTGTTGTAAAATGTAAATAAAATAACGCATATAGTGCTGGCTGGTGTGGCTCAGTGGACTGAGCGCTGGCTTGCGAACCGGATGCCTGGATCGAGGGCCAGGTCACTAGCTGGGGGCGCGCGAGAGGCAACCGATAGATGTTTCTCTCACACATCGATGTGTCTCACCCTCTCTTTCTCCCTCCCTTCCTCTCTCTCTCAAAGTAAATAAATAAAATCCTTAAAAAAATTATACATGTAACATGCTTAGCTCAGGGCCTGGCTCTAGGCTCTCATCATCAAAATATATTATTTTCATTATTTCCATTCTCATCAGCATCAATATCGAGAATGCACCTCCTTCAGGTGGACTGCGCTATGCTGGGCACTGGGGCAGATGTGAGAAGCAGAGACAGTCCTTAACTCGAGGAGCATGCAGGCCTTTCTAAGGAGGTGAAAAAATAGAGCTGGGAGAATGGAGTGTGTCGTTTAGGATTTTGTTTTGTGTGGTTGGAGAGAGAGGTAGAGACGGTGAAAGCAGAAGCAGCATAACCATCTTTGACGTTGACTCCATTCCTATGGCATGTCCTGGACCGGGTCCACGGTTCCCCGAGCTGGCCAGCCAACAAGTGCCCCTCCGCCCTGGCTCAGAACCGCAGCGATTAGCCTGGCACTTCAGCAAGAGCAAATGCACAGTGTCTACAGCAGGAATGAATCCTGGTTGACTTCTAGCCTTTAGGTTTGTCAGCCCACATTTTAAACAGATTTAAACTACACCCACTGAAAACTTGTGAAACAATTTGCTTGAGGACCCTTGGGGCCGCTAATTATAATCATAATCATGGTCCTGGCTGGTATGGCTCAGTTGGTTAGAGAATTGTCTCATAACCAAAGGATTGTAGGTTCGATTCCCAGTCAGGGCACATACCTAGGTTGCAGGTTCGATCCCTGATGTGGGTGCATGTGGGAGGCAACCAATTGGTGCTTCTCTCTCACATCTATGTTTCTTTCTCTCCCTTCCTCTGTTTCTAAAAGTAGTGGAAAAAAAAATGTCCTCAGGTGAGGATTTTTAAAAAATCATAGTCATGAAGGGGTCCCTTTCCTTGGGAGTCCCAGGTTTCTCAAGGCTTGGATGAAGCCAGGATTGGACACTCTTTCCCAAGGAGAGCAAGAGAGCGAACCTGGAACTTTGAAAAATTCAGAACACATTAGTTTGCCTTCTCCTTTTTGTGTTTCCCCATTCCTCTCCGCATCCCATAAGGCAACAGCAAATTCTTTGCCCAAGAAGTCTACCAAGGTCGATTGGTTCAGCAGGCATTGACCAGAGGTAAGGGAGCACGGGGGAAGAGGACGCCAGACGCGCCAGACATTGTGCCAGGAAGCGCTGGACATGGTCTGTTCCCACAAGTGAAGCTCCTCATCAGCTCCTTTGAAGACTCAAATCCCAGTTTGTTTTTTCCATTTTACTTTGTGTTGGTTTCACGCGTACAGCTCAACGTCCCCATTCTTAAAGCTGAATCCACTCCTGCTTCTCCGGGCAGTGCTGGCTTTGGTTTGGTTTTGATTTTGCAGGCTGTGGTGGTCTGAGGGCTGAGAGCTCAGGGTGCCTAATGGGCCCCTTCTGACACTGACCTTGCTGTGGCTGTCCCTGTAGTGCCCTTGGAAGCCACACAGGTCCTTTGTGCATGTGTATCTCACTTTACACATTGCTCACATCCTGGCTAATCTGTTCCTTGTTTAGATGCACCGGGGATAGTTTTCACTACTTGCAGGAAGCCAATAATGGACCATTCTGGAAATTAAACACTCCTTTATATCCCTGCCCTCTAAATTAGTTCTAAAAATTGAAATTTTTAAAATTCCAATGTGCTTAAAGTGGAGTCTGTGGCAGCTGCCAGATCCTTTAATTCTTGTATTATATTTGAATAATGAGAGTCTTCCAGATGTTTGGCTCCTGTTCAAGTGAGGGGTAGAGCAAGCAGTATTTCTGGTTTTAGGAACTTCTGAATTAAAGATAATCCATTTATTCAGCAAGTGTTTATTAAACATGCACAAAATAATCAAAGCCACTATCCCGGACCTTGCCCCCAGCATGTGACATCTCTATGCAGCCATGAACCCCTGGGGAGCAGACCGGACTCTGTGGGAGCGGCAGAGCTGGACATGGGTTGGGGATGTTTGTCTGAAACAGGGTGACCAGAACCGCACAAGCTGTGGCAGTTTTTCTTACTGAAAGCTCACCATAAGCCAGGCCTTGGGCTAAGTACTTTCCCCACTTTATTTTATTTAATGCTCGTATTAACCCTAAGAAGAAAGAGCTGTTGTCCTTCCCGTTGTAAAGATAAGGGAACTGAGATTTGAAGAAATCAAGTAACTTGTACAAGGTCACATAACTATTTTGTAACAGCTCATGTCTGGCACCAAAGCCCATGCCTTGACCCCTGGGCTGTGATGATTTCTTGAAATGCAAGGCCCAAGGCCGCAGGTGTTTCCACCATGATTTTGCACCTGCCCAGGATGCTTTGGGTTTAGGTTGGTGGCGGAGGTGGCAGAGATGGGAAAGGTGTGATCTGGAAAGCAGGACCCCAGGGTGGGTGGCAGTGACGACTTTACCTTCTTACCAGGTGTGGTGGAGGATGTCTGTGTCATGGAGACCTGGAACCCGGAGAAGGCTGCCAGCTGGAACCAAGCCCCCAAACTCCACTACTGCCTGGAGTATGACCAGCAGAAAGCAGAACTGTTTGTGACTCGCTTGGAAGGTATGCTCGCAGTTGCCTTTCAGGGACTTCCATGTGTCTGTCTCCCCCATAGGGACTGTGCAGGAGAGATGGGAGCATCCACAGCTGGGGGACTGGTGCCGGATTCGCACTCTGATCCTGAAACCTGTGATGCTCAGACACATAGGGTTTTGTTTTTCCTCTCTTTCATGTAACAGAGAGGAAATTCCTGGTGGGCAGACATCTTTCCTGCAAACGGTGATTCAGGGACCAGGCTCCTTCTATCTGTGGCTTCATAAGCCTCTCAGGCCTCCTTGTCATCTGTGTCTAGCAGGTGGAAGGAGGGGGAGAATGAGGAGGGGCCACAACTGTTCCTTAAAAACTACTTGCATGTGGCATGCATCACTTTCGCTCATATTGCATGGGCTGGAACTCAGTCGCATGGCCACTGACCGCAAAGGAGGCTGGGAAATGTGGCCCAGTGGGTGCCCAGCAAGAAGAGGAAATGGAGTTTTGGTGAACAGCTAGCCATCTCTGCCATAGGTGCCTTTCACGTTGTACAGGGCTTTGTGCTACATGCAGAGGGGGTTCTGAATGGTCAGCATTCCTAGAAGCAGGTCATCTTTCTGAAGGGGCAAGTTGTCCTTGGTCTCTCTATCCTGAAAGTTCACGATAGCATCAGCAAACAAAGCTAAGACTTCGCAAAAGAATCAGGGCTCACAAAGGGCTACTCCATGGCTCCTGGAAGCTGGAAGCTGTGGGCAGGAGAAATTGGACTTTCTTATTTAATTTAATTTTTTTGAGGTAGTGTCTTTTTATTTTTTAAAGTTTTTTTTAGCATTTTTACATACTTTATTATGTTTGTTCTTTACAATGGTCCCATTTTGCAGATTAGGAAACTGTGGTCTGGTAACATCAGGTGGCTTGTCTAAGATCACTCCAACTGATTGGTGCCAGAGCCAGGACTGCACCCAATTCCCTTGAAGCTCCGTGGAAGGTTCTTTCTATCAGGACTCATGGCCTCGGTTCTTCCCTTCATGGGAACATGAGCTACCATGACTCAGCATGCAGGAACCAGTCCTAAAGGCACCACAGGTGCAAATTTTCACATTGTGAAGCACTGAAAATACCAAGGATCAGAATACAAAGCAGCATTCATGAGGCAGCGGCCCAGTGAGTCACATCACAAGTGGTTGTATGGTAAATAAAGCACCAAACAAACGAATTGTGCCAGCAGCACAAATAAATGCCATCAGCAATCTCTGGGCTCCGGCACCCTGGGGAGATCTCAGACTCGTCAGGAGGGAAGGGCTCTGGGAAGCACCAAGTCTTGTCCCTGTGCTCCAAGGAAGACCAGTGCTGACTCTGGCCCCCTCAGATAAGGGAATCCATCTCTCCTTGTCTTTCTGAAAGGCAATTCTACAAAGCCAAGGTGGTCAGCCCCGGGGTTTGTCCACACATCCACGCTCATGGCCTTTAAGCCAGCTCCCGCAGCTCAAAGCGGGGCCGCGCTTCTCCCCTCCCTGGGTTCTCAGAGAAGTTGCATATCAGTTTTACTTTATCTCTGGCTGCAGCTGTGACCAGTGACCATGACGGAGGCTGTGACTGCTATGTCCAAGGCAGCGTGGCCAACAGGACGGGCTCCGTGGAGGCCCAGACGGCCCTGAAGAAGCGGGAGCTGCACACTGCCTGGGAGGAAGGCCTCGTGCTCCCCCTGGCGGAGGAGGAGCTTCCCGCAGCGACCCTGACGCTGACCCTGAGGACCTGCGACCGCTTCTCCCGCCACAGTGTGGCTGGGGAGCTTCGCCTGGGCCTGGATGGGGTGTCTGTGCCTCTGGGGACCGCCCAGTGGGGGGAGCTGAAGACTTCAAGTAAGGTAGGGCTACCTCACCCCAGGAAAGGAAGAACTTGGCAGTGGAGCATGGGATGGCAGACCTGGGCCAGTGCCCATGGAGCAAGCTTTAGAGCATCTCCCAGCTCAGGGGTGTGTGTGTGTGTGTGTGTGTGTGTGTGCATGTAAGTATGTGCATGTGACTGTGTGTCTGTAAGGAGGGCTGGAGTTTTAGCAGGGTGGAGGCCTGGGGCGACCTGTAGCCCAGGATTTGGGATTCCTGGTATCCAGTTCTGCTTCCAGTTTACCATGCAAAGACCTCCCCTACCACCATGATAAAAGTGCGTTGGCTCTGGTGCTGGCAGTGTTATCCTCATTTAAATTCGTTTCTAATTCCTATGCACCTACTATGTGCCAGGCACAGCATGGGAGATGAGCACCAGGTGGTGCTGTGACCACCGATTTACAGACAGGGGGACGGAGGCTTAGAGTAGTTCAGCCACCTGTGCAGGGTCGCCCACCTGGGACATGGCAGGCTCTGCCTTGAGGCCAGGTTGGCCTCCCCGTGAATCTCGTGCTGTCCCTCGTCACCATGCCCTGTAAGCGCCTGACTGTGTGAGGCACTGGCAACAGGCGCCTCTCCTGGTGGACACTGCTGGAGTGGGGGTACACTTTCACTCCCCACCTGCTCCCCTTTTTGCTATAATCCCTTTCTTGCCTTATTTTTCTCTTTTTCCAGGGCTCAGAAAATTGATAAACGTTGACAGCCACTCTCAGCTGGAACTAGGCTGTTCCAAAGCGCACTCCGTCATTAATGCATGGTTTGGGATTTGTGTGGAATCATAGCTGGGGGCCCTGGAAAGAAGAATGAACACTTTGGTTTATTCATCTGTAAACCAGCTTTCTCCAGAGATGGAGGGGCTCCCTCAGGACCCTAGAGACTTTGGTGACACTCCCAAAAGGCTGAACTCTAGCGTATTGGGGAGAAGTCTCAGGCACCAAAGCTGCTTTTGTCTTTCCCCCAGAAGAGCGAAAATCAATCATTCATTCCACAAATATCTTGCCCCATTTCTATGATGTGCCAGGCACCATGCCAGGAGCTAGGGACACAGCAGTAAGATAGATAAGGCCCTGCCTTTATGGCTCCGCTGCTCTAATAATTGTCACACATGTTGTGGTTGTCACTGCTGCACAGATATACCCTCACATCCCTTGGACCACTGGCCTGTTTCCCATCAATGTGAGCAATCTCAGAGGGCAGCCTGGAGTCAGAGGTAGGAGGTGGCACTCAGTGTATGAGGCAGGAGAGAGCCCCGGGTCCCAGCTGGAGGGCGTGGGCCCGTGTGGACGGGTGAGTGGAGCCTTCAGCCTCTGCATCCTGGAATGGGTTAAAAAAAGGGCCAGCGGTGCCCCAGTTCTCACCGGAAGACATTTAGCCAAAAGTGGCATGTGCGTCACCAGGAACTATACAGAGACCCACTCCAAGGGCAGCTTGCATGATTCATTGAGAGCTTAAGAGAAAGACTGGGGGGAGGAGGGGCAGGAAAAAACACAGGGAGAGGATGAGAAAGAAAGAGGGTTACAGACATGCTTTGTTTTATTCACTTTGTTTTCTTGTACTCTACTGATAGTGCATGTTTTACAAAATCGAAGGCAAGACCCTCCACCTGCAAAAGATTAAGACTCACTTTGTTGCAATACTCACTTCATTGTAGTGACCTGGAATCGAACCCCCGGTGTCTCCCGTGGCGTACCTGCGTTTTTGTTGGCAGGCACTTAAAGCAGCCAAGCCAAGGGGCAGATGCTGTTAAGCCCTCCAGCCGTGGTGAAGCCGGCTGGGCTTGTCTGGGCCTCTCGGCGCCCTACACAAAGCTGATGAGCCCCTAACACGCTGACGGGTCCAGGCTCCTTTCGCTTGGTCTGGGGAGAGTGGAACGCTGAAATCTGGTCACCCCGTGGCTACTGCCCAGGCCAACTGCGGGCCTCCAGTAAGTGCCCCTGAGTCAGGAGGCTGGTGCCCATGCAGCTCTGCGGCCACCCCTCTGGGTGCCTGGACAAGTCCCTGGGCCTCAGTCCCCTCACTGGAGCACACTCCAGGGGCGCCAGAGAGCACTGGGCTTAGGGCTTGCGCATCACTATCAGACCAGACCTCCGTTCAAGGCTCAGTTTTGCTCTCAGTGGCTATGGGACCTTAAGCAGTGACATGCCCTGTCTAAGCATCAGGGTCTTATACTTCAAATGGGAAGAGAATCAGGATTGATCTTAGGCTTGTTGCCAAGATTAAATGGGATGTCTCAGCCTTCTTTCTCACAAATGCTTATCGTGTGTCAACTGCGTGTTGGCTGCTGGGCATGGCTCTGTGGAGTTCACAGCCTGGTGCAATAGATAATGTAATTACATCCGGCACATGGTGAGTGTATAATTAATGTTAGCTGCTACTATTCATGTCCTTGCCAGAGTTCCTGGCAGCTCTCAAATCATTTCATCATGTGACCGGTCACTGCTGAATGGTCAGGGTCATGTTGAAGACATTTTTCCTGGATGAAAGGCGGAGGGCTGGATGGCTCCTCCGCGCAGCCTCGCTCCTCCAGCCCAGACCGGCTCCCCGTCCATCCAGAAACAATGTTCCCACTTAAAATCAGGAAGCAGTGACTGTCCTTCCTTAATAACTAATGGTGATAAAGCAAACAGTTCCATGGTGCTTAGGGTGTCAGGCACTGTTCTAAGCCGTCAAATATTGTCATTTAACTTCTACAACCCCACTGGTTGATGTCATTATTCCCATTTTACAGATGAGGAAATAGGGGCTTGGGAAAGCTAAGTGACTTGCCCGAGGTCACAGAGCTAGCAGATTGTAGGATCGGAACTCAGACCCAGAGAGCCTGGTTCTAGAGTCTATACTCTTTGCACTACCTTTGGACTGTGACTGACATCCAGCTTCTGTGGTGGTTCTTTTGGTCATATTTGTCCCTCAATGGATTTGTTGAAATTCCCAAAAAATACTTGTAGGAATTTCAGTGGAGATGCGCTGTAAAGCTGCAGACGAGGACAGGCACGGTGGGTGCTTCTTGGGGGGCTCCGCACCTCCTGCCAAGCGCAGTCATTGCCTGCGGTCTCCGGTGCATCGCCTCACGTCGTATGCCCGGCTTTTTGTTGACATAGCTGGCCATTCTGTTGACTAAGCGAGGCCCTGCTCAGCAGTAGCACATGGCATTATTGACTCTCTCAGCACTGTAGCGGCTGGAAGGAATTATGCTTTCCGAGTAATGAATCGCAATTCCCCACTGTCCCAGGAACCTGATGAGTCAAAGCAGCGGTTCTCCAACTGTGTTCCCCAGAACCCTCGCGTTCTATAAAGATGCCTTAGGGGCTTGGGGCAGGGGCAAGTGAAGCGTGAGAGGGAGTCCTGTCCCTCTGCCTGTGCCACCTCCAGTGTGGCATCTCTTTGATCTGTTTTATACGTTACGTTTGAATATAAGGTGTTTGGAAAATCACACTTGGTGGCAAACAAAACCAAGTCCTATTGAAATAGGGGCTGCATATGACGCTTCTGTGCCTTCCTCCCTTCTGCAAAGGGTGGAGAAACCAGCGTTGGTGGGTAAATGGTCTCCAGAACGCCAGCTGGGTACAAGCAGCGCGACCCTGGCCTCAGCTTTTGGTGCTGGGGCGGAAGCCGCCCGCAACGCAGCTGCCTCTCACACTCCCCCGTCTGTTCCAGGAGCCCTCTGCCGGCACCGGAGAGGTCCTCCTCTCCATCAGCTACCTCCCGGCTGCCAACCGCCTCCTGGTCGTGCTGATTAAGGCCAAGAACCTCCACGCTAACCAGTCCAAGGAGCTCCTGGGGAAGGGTGAGTGAGGTGTGAGGGGTGTGAGGCCAGGGGGCCAGGGCGCCTCTGGTCTCCAGGAATGTGTGTGGAGGGAGGGGGTGCCTAGAAGACAATGGGGACAGGTGGCACGTGGGTACATTTGTGGAGTCGGCCTCAGCGGCATCCTCCACCCCATGCTCACTAATTTTTAAAAGGCACACACACTTCTTCAAGTTCATATCCATGTACTCCTGGGCAAACCTCCCCCGTTGGGGCCCAGGTAGGAGCTCAGACCATCTGGGGACTCCCGACCTTGGAGATCCACTATGTGAAGAACCGGTCTTACCCCTGGGTCAGAGGAAGCCCAGGGTCAGGATGGAGCTGTGGAGTGGCGCGTCTGGGCTGTAGAGGAAACTTGGCCCTGACCTGGTCATGCAGTCCTGGCTGGGCCCGCGTTACGGGCAGGTGTCGGGAAGCCCAGGTTCCCCTTTCCCTGTCTCAGCTGAGCCAGCCCTGTGCTTTCCACACCCGCCCCAGCCTCTTCTTGTTTCCCAGCCTTTGCCGCCCTGCCACCCCCACGCCAGCTGAGCGCGCGCAAAGGCAGAGGGTGCGTGGGTTCCCGGGCTGAGGCGGCCTGAAGCTTAGGGCTCCCGTGCCCCATGTACCCACATAAACATCTCTTCAACATTCTTGATGCCTCGGTTTCTCCTTCTGGATACCTCAGCCTGGGCCCCAAGCCAGAGGACCGAATAGGTTCTCTTGCCAGAGCAGGAAAGCATCCCTGGTGAGCCGTGTGGGGCCTCCACCCGGGGCCAAGTGCTCACGACAGGATATAAATAAGTAGATATTTATAGCAGGATACAAACTAAGAATTGTTCCTGTGTTCAGAATCTTGGAGAAGAACCTCATGGGTGAATGAAATCAGAAGCGTTGGCCTTGCTGACCGATTCCTGAGCCAAAAGCCAGAATCCAGTGCTTTTTCCTCATCCCCTCCAGACAATTTTTGCCTCTTGCTCTTTCTTAATAGCTCCTGTCAGGACAATTACAGCACAACACTTTGTTTCTCAGATATCTGCTGAAATAACAAACTAACCCCCTGGATAATTATAGCAATAAATGCAGAGTAACAGTTATTCTCACATTAGCTTTGGGAACTTTGACTAATGAAAACATAATCTGGGTCCCGAGCCTTGTGATACATCAAGAGGGCTTGTCTAGTGACCTGTTTCCCTGAGTTGGCAGGGGCAGGGAGGTTTGAGGGGGCAGCTCTATCAGTGCAATACCCATGGGGGCCGAGGTAGCCTGCCTTTACCCTCCACATGAAGTTGGGATCCTCTAGTAAAACTTACAAAAGAATGGAGGAGAAGAGCTCATCCAACCAGCAGGTGACCAACTATCTTAATAATAGACAAAAACATGCAGCTAGAGAACCAAGGGCATGAAGACACACAGATGGAAGACATCTGGACTGAGATTACAGTCAAGCTGCAGGGTGTCTGAGTCCTTGTCCTGGGCCTGGTTCGATGTGGGACATGAAGGCACCCTAATGGCAAAGGATGGTTCCCTGACTGTCCCTTAGCATGACACAATTATGGGCCACCAGTGGCCAGCCTTAATGCCATTGTCTGTTTTCCATACTAGAGTATTCATTCTATTAGGCACGTGCTTTTGCTGTATGCCCATGTCTAGACCTGTGTCTGCTATGTGGTGGGCGTTTAATAACTGTTGAATTAATAGCTGACCCATGGTGGGCTGGGTAAGGGCGGAGCACGCAGAGGAGGAGTCTCAGTGCAGATCTTGAGCCAGAGACCCTTTCTCTCCATCCGTCAGAGACAGGATTGTCCTGGGCCTTGCCACATCCCAGAAGCTCACTCTTGACCCTTCTCTCTGTCTCTCTTCCCCCGCTGTCCCTCCCCAGATGTGTCTGTCAAGGTGACCTTAAAGCACCAAGCTCGGAAGCTAAAGAAGAAGCAAACGAAACGAGCCAAGCACAAGATCAACCCTGTGTGGAACGAGATGATCATGTTCGAGCTGCCCGATGACCTGCTGCGGGCCTCCAGCGTGGAGCTGGAGGTGCTGGGCCAGGAGGAGGAGGGGCAGAGCTGCGCGCTGGGCCGCTGCAGCCTGGGCTTGCACGCCTCGGGCTCCGAGCGCAGCCACTGGGAAGAGATGCTCAAAAACCCACGCCGGCAGATCGCCATGTGGCACCAGCTGCATCTGTAGCTGGCTTCTTGGGCCACCTCCCTTCTCGGGTAGAGCCCTGCCCCTTCAGTCCCAGCTGTCCTCTGTGACCTCTTCTTTGTGCCACATCTTCATTCTGACACCAGGAAGACAGATGTGTTTGCAAAGGCCAGGACCCTAATCCTCTCTCATCACACTCCTGTTCCTAAAACATGAGCAAGGCACAGCAGGGCGGGGCAGTGTGTGGACATTTGGGTCACACCGAGGAATGCATTTTGTTCATCTGTGTCATTGAAGAGACACTTATCAAATACAGCCCATGTGCAGATTTTGTGGCAGGGGGTGGGGAGAGATCTGTCCAGATGCAGATAAAGCTGAATTTGTGGAGTAATAAGTACAAAGAATGTGGTTTTTTTTTTTTTAAATGAGCGTTTCAAAAATGATAAAGAAAATAAAAGTATTCTGGATCGACTCACAGAATGAGAGATTGTCAGGGTGGGATGAAATCCCAGCCAGCAGGAAGCGTGCTCCGGAGCCAAGGCAGTAGGAACCCGCAGTTCTCAAACCTTAGTGTGTGAAGACACCACCAGCAGATTCCCGGGCCCACCTGTAGACATTCCGAATCAGCGTTCCTGGCCGGACCCCAGGAGCCTGCCTTTTTAACAAGCACATCACGTTTGGATGCAGAGGTGGGGGCACTGCGCTTGGAGAAATCCCTTCTACAACATTCCAGACAGGTTCCCACCGTCCTTGTTGGGGCCCAGCACCCTGGGCAACCAGTTCCAGTGCTGGACTGAGGCAGCCATCAGTGTGAGATTTGGAAGCCTCTGTGTTTTTTTCATTTAATTGTCTTAATTCTTGATATTTTCATTTGTGCTTTTCAGATCCTGCTCTTGGATTGAATTTGTACTTTGTATTGAAAACTTTCTTGTTTTATCTCAAAATCAGTTTATATTATATTCAGGGGAACCTTTCCTGACAATATACAGGTGGGATCCCCCCTATTAGTCATTGGGCGCTAGTTGTCACATCCACCAGCATCACCAAAGTGACCCTCTGAGACAGACCCATCCCTTCTAGCAGTCCAGCCACATCAGGAAGAATTCAGTTGGGGGAGGGGCATACATTAATTGTGGAAGTGGAGAAGGGAGATACCTAAGTAGGAAGCAAAGACTTTTACAAATGTGCCTCCCACTTCCATTTTCAGGGCCTATCACTAAAGTCAGTAAAGAAGGTTTCAGATTCCTACCTTATTATTCCAAAAAGCTGTCCACGTCATTAATTAAATTATGAGCTTTGTGGAGTGGGTCTAATGTTTGCCCCTGAACCAGGTCTCCTGGGTTCTGTTGCTGGCCATCTGATGAACAGGGCTGATGGCATGGCAGCTCTGTTTGTGTGAGCGATGTGATAAAGGAAAGAGCACTCAAAAGCTGTAGGCGCTCCCTGGCTAAAACTGAATTCTGAGACCTCCAGCAGATCACCTGTAAGCTTTATGCTGGCAGCTCACAATGCTTGGCAAGTGCAGAACCACCCCAGGTATTTCCAGAACCATGAATTCTGCATTTGCACTCCTTAATACTGACGTCCAAACTCCGGGCCTTCCGATGTCACCCAAGTCCTGACCGAAAAGTGAATTGCTAGACAAGATGGGTAAGGGCTATCTTTGAACCTCCAACAGAGTCCAGTCATTTTTGGCCTCTCCCTGTGAGTCTGAGCAGAGGCCTCATCATCCTTAGATATTACTTTTTCCTTTCTGTACAGAAGTAGAGACGCATTAGAAACAACTTCTACCTGTCCCTTCCCCCGAAGAAACCGAAAAAAAATATCTAATCCCTCTTTAATGGGAAAATCTTACAGATCATTGGAAATCTTGATCACTAAGGTTGACCACCTTTGCCAAGTCATTTTTTAGGCAAAGCGTTTGTTAGTGATCTCCTTTATCGTGTTTTTGAGATCCTGCTCCCCGCCCCCTCCCCATCATCACTCCGCTCTCCCTTTTTCAGTTGGGCGTAGCTAAAAGAGAATAAAACATCCCTATGTAAGCTGACCGGTACTCTCTTCTTGGTAACATCTGCTACTCCAATCTGAAAGAGTCTGGATTCTAGGCTTAAAATCAGGAAACATGGTTCCACTTCCTTATGAATCTATGCATCTGTCTTACAGTCACACCAAAGGATGTTTGGGGTGGGTTGTGTAAGGTCTCTGATCTCAGAAATGTCCACTCCACCCATGGTCATTCTACCATGAGGCATTTATTTCTTTGCATCTCAAAGGTTTAGTTTTCCAGAATCTGTACATTAAAGGTTGCCCGTGATGAGTCCAATGCCACCACAGGGCATTGTAGGTGTCAGCGGTCACCTCTCTGAGCAGGCATGTACAGAAATGAGGTAGCTTTTAAAGGAGTTTTTGTCTGTTGTGTTCACTTGTGTGTTCCAAGCACTTAGAATAAAGCTGGCACATGGGACCTCAATATTTGTTGAATAAATGAATGAATAAAGGATGGATGGGGAGTAGACAGAAAATGACACTGCAAGTGGCATAAAAATCAGAGTCCTAGCTGATTTCTCAATGGTAAAGTCATCAGAAATCTCACTTGGCCTAGAAACTCATGACACTGAGTATCACCGTTCACCTAATGACAATTTGTAGTTCTCCGTGAAAATGTCATTCATGATAGGAGAGAATACAGTTGTTGTGCTTTTTCACCCAAACTTTGTCTTGGTGAATTTTATATTACTCAGAGATATCAGCCTGACAAATTAAAAAACTTTAGTAATCTTTGCATCAGCTTACCTTGCAAGAAACATTGGCAATTTACAGAGTAATTGGCTCTCTGTGAGCACATCTGATCTTTTTGAAAGGAACACATTGTACTTTGCCAGGGAAGTATTTTCTAAGATGGGCATGAAACAGAGGTGGAAATAAAGAAACCAAATGAGACTGGGCTGTTGCCCACAAGGTGATCTGGTTCTTTCATAGGTATGGCAATGGGGATAAAGGATTGGGAGTCCACTTGTATCAATCTGTGATTCTACTTACATCAAACCAATATCCGTTTGTTGAGTGCCTATTGATCAAGACCTTGCATGTGTTTGTCCATTTCAATTTGAGGTGTGACTCTTGGTATGGGTTGAGGGACAAATCACCCCAAATGACACCATGTAGAGAGCAAGGTGGGAGAATAGTTTTTCAAGGGCCATTCCTTTAGTATGTACAGAGTCCTGGGTGGCAGGTGGCTGTAGCCTAAGCCAAATCGAGGCAAGGACCACAAAAAGAGAGAGCTAGCCCTTGTGATTTGTTTCTGCCGCCCATGTTTCCTGTTGTCAATGCTACCTGTGTATTTGTTTGCAATTATGAACTGAAGCACAAAAAGAAGCATGAGACATCGAAATCATATGTCTGGTGTCACACTTTGGAGCAAAAACCTTTTGGTGGTAAATAAATAATTTCCAACTGGATTAGCTGCCTGGTGTTGTCTTCTTTTCGCTTAACATTTTAGACATATACAATGCAGAAACAATCATCTGATAAACACTCATGAGCCCCTGCCAAGTTTTATAAAACTTGACAAAGGCAGCTGAAGTTCCCTCAGCCCTTTACTGAGGAGACCGCTCATCCTGATTTTGAGGTTCCTCACCCCAAGCATTTCTTTATGTGTTTACTGCATGTATATGTTAACCCTGGGCATTGCAGAGTATTTGTGCATTTTAAACTTTATTTACATTTTATCACACTATTTTTGCTCCCCATTAAACATTAGAGCTTTATCCATGCAGACATATGTAGCTCTAGTTCATTTAATTTTTGTTTCTTTATAGTATTCCATCGTATGGATGTACAATCCCGTTCTGTTGTTGATGTACATTTAGATGTTTCCTTCTCTCTCCCTCCCCTACCCCTTGCTGTTACAGGACTGCGAACATTCTTACGCATGTCTCCTTGTGCACATGTGCAAGTTTCTCAGAGGTAACTACCTAGGAGTAAGTGGAATGGGTGGACCGTAGATGGCACCGTGTGTGCGCGCGGGGGCACGCATGCATCTTGATGGTCTTGCTTGTGCACTGAATCAAAGGGGCTACATACAAGCAGGGGTGCAAGTGCTCCGGAGGCTTTGACTCCATTGTTGAGGAGAAAAATCAGTATCAGTTGGAAACTAGAGACTTCTCTTTCTCTAATAGTCCCCAAACAAAAACTCTGGAAGAGTCAGTGCAGCAACCAATGGTACCCCCCACCCCCCCTCCCCCGCACTCCGGATGGTGGGCGGGGACAAGGGGACTCCCGGAGTCCTGTCGCCTAGGCCTTCCTGGTGGCCGCCGCAGCCCTGGCGTCTGGAGGAAGGGGCTCTGGCATTAAACCAGGGACAGAGAATTTTAAAAATCAGAATTTTTACTTTCATAATAAAATCAAGATGTGGGTTTTATCCTGCATAGCCAAATACTATAGAAACTATTTTCCATAGGTTACTATGCATATGGCCCATCAAAGCCCAGGACTAATATTTTAAAGTCTGGATTTATAGAAAAGAGAAATGGGAGAGAGGAGAAGAGTTCATTAATTACTTTATACCAGTCTTTGCGCTGAATTGCCTTAAACCCCGCTTTTGTACACACACCGTATCTACACCACTGCATTTAGGAGCTGAGGAGCTGCAGCCCAGCGTGGCTGTGTCACACGCCACTTCACGGCCCTGGGCAAGTCACTTGCCTCTGGACCTCCGTTTCCACATCTGTAAGATGAATTTGAACCGAGTGATCACTAAGGCCCTGCCTAGATATAAGATTTTATATTTTATGATTCTGTGGTCTAGGTTGGCAACAATGTGTTTTTCACACATATCTTGGCCTCCAATCTCATGCTTAAACCCACATACATGTGTGCCTGCCCTCCCCACCCCATGTCAGTAATACTCCCTGGCATCTTCTGACAGTCCCTGCTGACAGCCACCCACTCCTCCAGGCAATATGCAGTGTCACCTGAGGCTCTGAGTCAGTCTCTTCTCATTTTCTTAATTGCTCACGGAGCTGGTGGTAATTTTCCACCTAAGAGTTTCTGTTTTTCTTGAGCCAATTGGAAGCACTGTCATTGCAGGAGCTCAGATCCCTAGCATCTGCTCTGTCTCCCTCCCAGGACAGATGCCTGGCAAGGACAAAGCCACAGGAGGCAGCTGTGGATGGACTTGGAAGGTTAGGCATGTTCTTGGTGTGCATGTTGGGGAACTGCCCCTGTGCTCCCCTCCTTCCTCTCCTGCAGGTGAACCTGCACAGATGGTTTGTGATGGGACCATCAGCAGCTTCCCCAAGCCAGAGATGGAGGCAGGTGCCTACCTGGGAGGGGGTGGGAGGAAGCCAGTCTTGCAGGCTGGAAGCTAGACATTGCCATGGGAACAGGTCTAGTGGTGGCCACCGTGTGATCAGGGCCCTGTGGTGGCTCATCCTCGGCCGGGTGTGGTCTCTTCTCAACACAGCCCAGGCTGGAGCACGGTTGCCCTTCCCAGTTTCCCATTGGCAAGTGGTTGATGGCAGAAATCTTATTCCAGAATAAGATTCAGGGATACAACTCTGGGACAAGCAAGGAGAAACCTGTTTTTCCAGCCAAAGACAAACCAGCAAAACAACAAAATCTCTGTGCAGTCCCTTTTCCCTCCAGAGCCAGGTGAGACAAGATGTTGAAGCAGAAGGAGGTGCTTGAGAATCTCTTTCCAGGCTGAGAAGGAAAAGGTGATCTCCATTCAGGCAGAGGCGTCCCTGTCGGCTGTCGTGATAGGTGTTAATGGCTCTGTATGAAAAAGTCACAGGCAACCCCTCCCTCAGGGTAACGCCAGGAATTCTGGGTAAAAGAAGGCAACTCCACCACTTCCTAGCACCTACTTCATCCTGATCTAAGGAGTAACAATAATGATGATAATGAGAAAGTGTCAGCATGTATTAATCTGTGCTCAGCCCTGAAGACACAGACTCAGGTAAGTGACAGGTCCAAGATCTCACCACCTGTAAGAGGCAGAGGGGAGACTTGAATCTGGCACAGCTCTAACCCTAAAGTCCAGGCTCTGACATATAGCCAGGGGCCAGGGGCCTTTCTTAGAAAAGGTAACAGATGCAAAGGCAGTAGCTTCAAAATGCTCCCTGGACCACTCTAGAAATTGCCACATAGCAGCCCGCAAGCTTCAGGCAGCCAGCCCCCTTCCTGAGTCTCTCTTCAAGGCGAATGCAACTGGCTCTTTGAACCTGAGAGAGGGAAGCAGGGAGCAGCTGAAGAGAAGAGGGAGGAAAGAGCGTGGACTAGACCTCACCCTCTTAACACATCCTTCAAGCCCTGCTTCGGGGAGACCAAACTCCCAAGTACAGATGGAGGATCTTTCCTTTCCTTGTTTCCCAGTGATGAAATTGTTAGCACGTTCCAGATTCAGCTGCAAATGCAGGCCAAATCCATATGGCCAGCAGTGGGGCACAGCTGGCCCTGGTTCACCTGGGCTGATTAGACATGGGCAGCTATGCCCCTTTGCTCCTTCCTCCTCGAGCCCTCCTCTGTAAAAAGAGAACGAGAACATTCCATGGAGACTAAGGGGCGACCTTCACAGCAGGAAGCCTCTGACTGACCCACTGTGGGGGCCTCCAGGGAGTGCAAGGGACACATGCTGGGAGGGAGATGGCAGGCACGAAAAAGGCAGAGGTTAAGGAGCAAGGGAAGGTCAGTGGAAGGAAGCCAGAAGGGGCAGGGGTGGGTGGAGATTCGCATCTGAGAGGGAAAAATAAAAACACTTAGCTGTGCCTTCGTTAAATTTATGCCCGCCTTCTTTCTAAAACAATTTGGGTAAAACATCACTTATCACCACCACCCCCTCCCGGCAGCACTAGCAAACTGCCGGGGAAAGACCCCGCCCCAGGGGCCCCGCCAGAAAGTGGACAATCAATCATGGGAGGCAGCGGAGGGAGAATTGGAACAACCTTCTACCTGCAACAGACCTGTGCATTTCCTCGAAGAGATTCTTGTGGGATAAATGCACTTGGGGGCAGGTAGGTTTATTTCTAATGGTTGCAGTTACACTTCCTTTGGGCCTGACGAGTAGATGAGGCATGTAAGTTACCTGCGGGAAGTGGACTCGAATGAAGGAAAAGTGAGAGCAGCAGGAAGTAGCTCAAGGCCTCTTCTAGTTCCTTCTAACCCGGCAGCAGACAGGCTCCTAATCTGACTGTGGAGGCCTCGAGACGCAACCCATTCTGCATCGCCCTGAGCACAGACCGGGGACAGAAGCATGGAGGCAGAGATTCAACCTTGGTGAGTAAATTTAAATGCTTTTATTAACAGTCTCCTTACATTACGAGGATAATATGACAAAAGGAAAGTTTCTGCGTACATATTATGATAAACCAACATAGCTCTATTTGTATCCAGTGTTCTAGGTCCCGTCACACAGGTACTATAAAGCGTAGTCTGCAAAATAATAACATCAAGGTTTTTTTTTCTTTTTTAAGAAAGAAAGTATTAACATATTAATATGTATGTGATAATAGACTCCTAGGTATTTCACCCCACCCCCACGATATTTTTCCTTTATGATTGAAATGAAACGGTTCAGCAGTGTGGGGGTGGAGAGAAGGAGAGAGACAGGGGCTGAAAAAGACTGAATCAGACTGCTGGCTCTTCCCGAGAGACAGAGTGAAGACTGAGGGGTGCCGAAGGCAGCCTGGCCCTTGTCTTTTTGTGAGCAGTACTGTAACCGGCTGTCCTTGGACGGAGGGCCTGGTGCCCCTGATGCCCCGTGGCTGCTCTCTCTGAGGTACAGTGCATTGTGGGATTGCTACCCGGGGGGCCCACCCCCTGGCCATGGGTCTGGTCCACCGCAGCGGGAGGAAGGCTCGGGCCGGGCCTGGCCTCTCTGGAGCCAGGCCCTAGGGGGTGTTCCAAGACCCAGTTGGCAGCTAGCTGTGGCTCAAAGAGACCCAGGCAGCCTTGGAGGGAAAGGAGGTGGGCATTGGCAGAACAGACCCACCCTGACCGTAGGTGTAGGGGTGGGCCTGATGGAAACTGAGGTCCGTTGGTAGGATGGCGGGGAAGAGCAGGACAGGGGCTCTGAGGGGGCTTGGAGACGGGAGAGCCAAAAGGCAGAGGCTGGTCTGGAGAACGGAGGACGCAGCAGCAGCTGTCCTCTATCTCGCTTCATCTGCAACCCCATCAGCCCCTCCTCCCCTACCTCCAGGGACAAGCAACTACGGAGAGAAACCTGGAAGCGGAGGGGGCTTCTGATCCCGTCAGGGCCGCACAAGCCCTCCGTCATGGGGCACCCGGCTCAGCCTCTGCCTGGAGTCACAGAATCAGAACAGTGTATGTGAACTAAACCTGCCTGTTACGGTGGCGGTGAGGTGAGGGTCAATGGGCCTCCGTGTGGGAGAGGGAAGAGCGTTGTCCTGAGTACAGCCAGCAGCAG